TTTCTTCAACATAAGTGGGTGAAAAATTAGGTGATAATTAAATCAAAAATTTTTTCTGCATTTAGAGCCAAATGCAATAATCAACATTTATATGAAAATCCATGGGGAGCCTATAATTGTATTGATTGGAGTCATTAATTAGCAGAAAGCGGCTTAATCTGCAGCTAGACGTTGAAATAATTCCCTTTAAAAGTTTCTGAGTGGAGCGGAGCCAATCAATCAGATGGGGTGATATCTACGGTGAGCCTGACACTTTGACTGAGAACAAATAAGTCATCAGTGATTATGGCTCACAACAATCAGGTATCGAGGTACCTCAGCGGGAATGAAATGCTCACTTTCTTACAGATAATTAAATTAGAGGTAGAAAACAAAGATGGTGGATCTGAACCTGGACCTCCAAATTTCCAACTGCAGTGGCATGGCAACATTTTTGCTAAACAGTCGATTGATAGATGGAAATACTGTCATGCATAAAAACCTACTAAACATTTACTGAGAATGATCCAACAATTAAACTAGATGCTTCACAAAACATCAAAGTTATACAAACATTACTCAACATTAATATTTTAAAGAATGACCTGCATCACAATCAGATAGACCCCCATGATGGTGGCTTGTGAGGTGGTGAATTAAATTCATTCACCACCTCACTTTTATCCCTCAGAACGTTATCTCCTTTAATAAGGTAATCTGGACAATTGGCGTGAAAAGACCTAGGTCTTACAATGCTATTCAAGATTCTCCAAGTTCTTTTCATATCACCTGTACTTTCCTTCAACCTTAAATTATAATACTCTTTTTTTGCTTGCCTTATTATTGTTTGTCAATTTATTTTTATAAGTCTTATACTTAATTTCTGTGATTTTAGATCAAAGTCTGACAAAATCTCTATATAATTAATTTTTTCTCCTACAGGATTTTAGTAGTCCCTTAGTTAACCAAGGTTTTACATCAGCATTTTTCTTATTTTACATGTCAGTATTGGGCTATTCTTATCATGTTTTAAAAAATGTATCATATGCTATGTTCACATCCTGAACATAAACCCCACTCCAGTTTTCCTTTAACAGGTCATTACAAAATTTTGTTATTGCTTCCTCTGACCTTATTCTAATATGCTTTATCTGTTCAACTTCTTTGTTTTTTTTTATTTGACTATGATGTACTATGAATATTGGTAGGTGATTGCTTCTATCACTTATTAAAGGACCACTATTAACTGCCTTATGTATTTCATTTGTATAAATACTGTCAGTTAGTGTAGCACAGGTACTTGTAACTCTGGTTGGCTTAGTAATCACAGGATATAAACTCCTACTCGACATTGCATCTACAATGCTAATTGAATATTACTAAATATTACAGATACATTTTGACATAAATTAGACAAAAAATGAAAAATAAAGCTACTACATGACAAAGAGAGAAATAATGAGGACCTGTCAAAGAGTTGAAAAACTGAGGACTAACTACACGAGGAGTACTGAAAACCAACTGAGCAGATAAAGGCAGGTGTTTAAGAATAAGAAAAGTGAAATATATGTAATTAACTAAAGACCCTAAAGCTAATATAAACTAGTGTACCAAAGCACAGATGACGGAAAATATACAAGTAAGACCACAACATCCCATAAGGATGACAAACGGCACTGGTAGTTGGGTGGTGTTTTTAAAGATTACATGGATTGTTTGACGTCGGTCTTGCAGTTCTGACTATGTCAGTAAAGTCAAGTTTTTTATTTAATTTTATTTATATTGAGTCGGAAAAGGGTAGAATGCCTTCTACGGGTCAGGGATGAGATCCTGCCTCATGTGGAGGAGTTTAAGTATTTTGGGGTCTTGTTTACGAGTGAGGGAAAGGTGGAGCGGGAGATCGATAGGTGGACTGGTGCTACTGCGGGCGTTGTACCGATATGTCGTGGTGAAGAGAGAGCTGAGCCTGCTCTTGATTTACGCGATTGAATGCCTTGGGATTACCCCAGAGGAGCTGGCCCAAGTGGCTGAGGAGAGGGAAGTCTGGGCCTCCCTGTTTAGGCTACTGCCCTTGCGACCCGACCCAGCATAAGCAGCCAAAAATGAATGGATGGATGGATGGGTGGGTGGGTGGGTGGGTGGATGTTTTTATTGGTTAACTTTAAAAATGAACTTTAAATCACTGTGATGACCACTAGATAGAAAGAGAGCAGTCACAAGTCTCATTCCTGCCATTAGAATCTGTTCCATAACTTGACCCTTTGAGGATCTGAAACCTCCCTTGAGAGTCTTTCCACAAGCAGAGGGGATTAAATCAGGAACTCAATGATTCTCCTAAAGGTCAGTACGTTGGCTGCATTTTCATTCAATCAGAGCCTTGGGGTCCTCAGCAGCGTCACCGCTCAGCCTCCAAAAAGCCAATCAGGAGCAGCATGGGAGGGCAAAGTGTGGCTGTCACTGATGGAGGGGCCACCGAGGAGGATCAAAGTGCTGCAGCCTTTTGGGTCTGCCGCTGCTCGCTCCCCTGGTGCATTCCTCTGCCATCGCTCCTCCTCTCACCTTCGCCTTCTCTGGCATGAGGGGGGTTCTGGTTGGTGACGCCAGCCCTACATTCACGCTGATCCTGACAAGCTGTGCCGGATGTGGTGCTGAGTTGAATTAATTAAAGGGTGAGAAAGCCGGGGTGGTTAGGCCAGAGCTCAATCTGGTGCTCAACGCCACTCGAGACAAGACAAGTCATTGAGGACTTGAAGGGCAGGTGGGCATCTCGGGGCTCTTGTGAGTACTGTCATTTGGCCAGAAGACGTTAAGGAAGTGTTGATTAGCATCTTTAGCCGTTGTAAAGTCACACTGATCTGAAGGATAACTTTTGCGATGAAAGTGACTACCAAACACCTTTTCCAACCAACCACTTACTTAGGTAAACCCAACAAATAATATTTACATGATAAATAAAATAACTGTGGGACTCAGATTTAAGATGCAAATCCAAACAACATCCACTTGTTAGATTTCTTTCTGGACAGTGAAGTTGTCATGAATTTTGTGTTTGATTGTAAAACAAATGGAGACGGTTTTGCTGTAGTTCAGGGTCAAAAGGTTACTCATGAGCCATCGAGACACTCCCACCACCTGTTCATTCAGTAACTTTGTCAGGGAGACTTTGCAGTTACATGCAATTACTTTGCAGTTAGATGAGGGGATTTAAGAAGATTAGTACATTCCTGCTGTATCAAACGCCCTCTAGTGGAGTATCTATCCACAGCAGATTGCAGGAGTTAAATTCATTAATAATTTAATTAACAATACATTAACATTTTATACAAAATTATTGTATAACAAATGAAAGTAACAGAAATATTAGTGATTGATAATAGAAAATGGTACAAAAAGTTCAGTTTTTTCTTAAATGTGAGTTTTATGATTATTTTATATGTTAAGCATTAAAAGAGTTCATTAAGAGTAAAATACGGTAACTCTAAGGAGCTTTACTTTAGTTCCCTTCCCCTTTTTTCCAGTTAATGCCCAGTAACAGGTCTGCTTATCAGTCCAAAATGAAACTGCTGTTGATGGATTTCTGTTTAAAGAATCTCAAATAAACCATAAAAGCAACATGAAGAGTCCACGGTGCTTCAGACAATTAGCAAACAAATATAACATTTCAGAAACAATAATCCAAACTATATTGTATAAATGTGAAAACGCCTGATACGCATAACATGCATGACACACAAAGAATATGGTAAAATAACTTCAAGATGACATGGAAAGGACATAAAATAAAAAGTAGAATAACATCATAGAATACGTGTTATGGGTGCAACATAAAACAAGAAAAGCCCCAAGTCCCAATTTTAATTCTAAAATTGAAAAGCAGCTCTCCAAACAAGCTGTTGTAAAACCAAAGCAAAGAATGACAAGTGTGACAAAACCCCATAGAGACCTCTCCTTGTGTCTGCCACGGAATAAAAATAGTACAAATGAGAAAGCATGGAGCATCATTAATCAAGCTATTCCTAGCTGTCAGGAGCACACACAGGTGTTTACAGGTGCACGCTAACGCTCTACAGACGGATGAAAGCAGGACCATGGAAACAGGCTGACAAAACATAATATAGAGAAGAAAAAGATGGCTCCTCATACAGTATAGTTTAAATATAAACAAAAGAATAAACTGATAAAACTCTGTTCATTTATGTTTATTTAGCATTGTCTTTTATCCAAAATGACTTAGAAATGAGGATGAGGATCAGCTACATTCCCCAAAACCACTCACGTAGAACACCTGGGATGCAATGTTTTCCCTGTAAAAGAACTATGCGTCTATAAACCATCCTGTTTGACAGTAAAACATAAAATAAAATAATTTTCTCTAGGATAAAATAAAAAGTAATGATCTGAAGCAGCGAGAGCCTGGCGCTCCCTAGTGGTGACTTCTGAAACAAGCTTCATCACACCCACCCGGTAAAAATGTGTGGAGGCTGCACTGATCTTGGCCCAAACTTGAATGTCAATACTTCATTTCATATTTTGAAATTCGACACAGTCTAGCCATGCAGCCGTTCCTACGGAAACCCACACCGCTCCTGGTATTGCAGCAGAAGGAACAAGACACAGGTTTACACTGCAGCTAACGGGGAGACAGCCTTGCACATTATCTGAATGCCAGGGATTAGTGTGGAGGGGAACGATTAGTGCTTAAAGTGATGATGAAGGATGGAGCTAACCACAACTCACAGTCCATCAGCCGCTTTGCATGCGGTCAATTAGGTGGGACTTTGGTGATTAGCAACACTGAAAAATGCACATCTTTATCCTGTTTTGTTCTTCTGAAAGTGTTCATCAATTAAATTCTTTATAAACTGTCTTTTAAAAAGAATTTGATTCAAATCAGTGTGTTGGAGCACCCAAATCTGTGATCATCTGCATCATCAGAGTTGGGCAGAGGACAGGTTTAGAGAAGGACAACGAAGACAACACTGCCTCAGATTAACCAACATTTCTCACAGCGGGGTGTTTACCTGTGAGCTTCTTCACCGGCTGCAGTCTCACACCGATGCTCTGATGGGTGAGCAGCGGGGAGGAGGGCAGAGAGCGAGACACGCCCTCCATCATGCGAATGTGCTGCATGCCCTCGGTCATGGAGAGCAGGGGCACAGCGTAGTCTCCCTCAAAGGCACAGTCGCTGTCTATGCTGCCACCTTCAGGATGGGAGGGAACACAGTGTCAGACGTGTTTTTCTCAGTTTGGAATGGGGCATTAAATTTTCATGAAGCTGCCATATTATGAAGGGAAAGAAGGGATTAGTTCCTGCCATAAAACAAAAGAGACGCCAAGAACAAATCGATGCAGGAATAATAAAACTGACAAAAAGACATTTGACTTTACAGTAACATTAATCAAAGGAGAATAATATCCTTGTTTCATTTTAATAACAGAGAGGACTGGCCATAAGAGTATGATTAGTTTAAAAGAAACACTACCCAATGAACACAGAGGTGTTTGGTAAGAGGCTGATTTATTTATCATTTTTGAGATTGATAACAAAAAAAACATAGTGTATCTTAATCATCTGCAAGAAAATAAAATTACTTTATTGTGATGGCAATGTTTTTGTCCAATGAACAGCAACAGTTTACACTGAAGTATTGTGATATTTTGTGTTATGATACTGAAGTGATATTTAAAAGCAGTGTATTGATTTGTTTTATTAAGAATTTGCATGCAAAGCTTACTTTATTTCTTTTGTCTGGTGCAGCTCAAACTCTAACTGCTAGGAGGCAGCAGGTTTTTACCACCTTCATTCTAACAGAACAACACTGCAATAACACTGGACGAGTGTTGAAAGTGTCTAAACTGAGTTTTCCATTTAAATTCTGTCTTAAAAATTGCAAATATTACCAGATTCTTGTTAATGCACACCTTTAACACACACAAAGTTGTTTTTTTGTTTGAAAACTGAACATTGAGATGAATTACAAGTCTTCACAAACTTCTTCCTGACCATGAAAAGCAGAATAAGGCAAAGTCTCCTAAAGGCTGGTCTGCTGCCAAGTTTGGCAAAGAAGAACCCACTTCTCTCCAAAAAGATCATCAGGGACAGAATGAAATCAGCTAATGGTGCAGGAATTTGGACCACTGACGACTGGGGAAAAGACTTTTCCTCAGATTAATTCCCTTTCTGACTGTTTGGAGAATTTGGAAGAAGTATTTTCTGTAAAAGGAAAGGTGAGTGCTTCCATCATTTGTGTGTCTTGCCAACAATAAAGCAATTTCAGACCATTTATGGGGTAGCTTCTCAGTCAGGAGAGTAGACTCATTATCATTTTATCATCAGAACAGCCATGAATAAAGAATAGTACCTAAACATCCTCCCAGAGGAACTCCTCCCAACTGTATATAAGCAGTTTGGTGATGGAAAGCATGGTGCAACACTACGGAAAAAAGCTAAAGTCAGAAATGCGTGAATAAAATATTCAAGATCTGGATCAATGGCCCGGAAACTCTTCAGACTTTAATCCCATTGAGAAATTCAGGAGGCAGGTAGACAAACAAAAATCCACAAATGCTGATAAATTCAAAGCATTGATTATGCAGAATGGGCTATGATCAGTCAGGACTTGGACCAGACGTTGATTGTGCCAGGGTGAAAAAAATTATGAATCTTCATGAAACTTAATGTAATTGTCGATTAAAAGTCTTTGGAACTCACACAATGCTTTCAGTCACATCTCAACATTGTGAAAAGCAACACTTTAGTCTTGGCATGTTGGATAATATCAGCCTACCATAAAAATGGCCGATATACAGATATTATCCATCAAACTCTTCAGCTACTTCTCCTCTCTCTCCAAGTGTCAAAATATGACAGATCTGAAATAACGTTTTAGAAATATTCACAACTTGTGAAGTAAAAATGTGCCCTGTTTAGTGAACATACGCTGTCCTAACAGCACGTAGCTGGGTGTAGCTAGTCAGCTAACAAACAACTAAAACAAGAATGTTCACACAAGGCTTGTTTTTCTTATCTGAAGGTCTTTATAAATGTTTCATCACCATAGATGCTATTTACAGAAAAAGAAAAATACATTACTAATACACACATCTTAGAATCACACTTAGGGAGAATAAGATTCAGCTGCTGCTTCAGAAAAAGTTTGAAGGCGTGGGAAACTTGTTTAATCAATACAATCACAGTGGTTTCTGGTAGGCATGAATGCCTTGCAAGTCGTACTTGGGGCAAAAAAGAGCCCAGAGGCACCTGCATCAGAAAAAACAAGTCTGCCACATCAGAGGAGAGCTGAACACAGCAAAACTTGGAGTCTTACTTCCTGATATTCTGACATCATGCCTTGGATTGGATAACAGCAACGTAACTCTAACACTAACTCTGGCCATGGATGTTTTATCTCCACAAATGGTGGAGTTGCTAATGTTAACGGTTAGCTTACACTAGCAGAGATGTTCTCTGCTGATTCTAGATGCTAAAACAACAACAGCCTTCTTCATCACAAGCCAAGATGGCGGAGTCCAAGTCAGTGTGATGCAGATTTGTCAGGCTTTTCATATCCTAGGGTGTTTCTCAATGCCAAGGAACCTTGCCTTGATCAATCAATCAGATTTATTATATTTTTTGAGATGTCTTGGCCCCGCCCTGGTTGCCTAGGAGATACGTCATTGGGAGCCGCCAAGACGTGTTCCAATGTTCATGTTCTACCGAGGCGAGTGTTCTCCGTTTGTTAGCCGTTTAGCTAGCTGAGCGAGGATACATGGGAGGTGTAGCCTAGCCTTGGTCAAAAATGACCCGGAATACACCGTGGTATTTTCAAAAGGATGGCGGATCAGAAGCCGGCAGCTACTTCGGGGACAATTTTCAAGTTTAAAAGTAAGACAATTAATTTAAAATGTTTTTTTTAAGATCCAAAGAAGTTATCTATTGTTGGTTAGTTGCTTAGTAGTTGCAGCTTCGGTGGCTAGCGGGTAGTAACTCACTTATATTTTTAATTTAATAAACATTTACACAATTTAAAAAGTAAAAGTATTGTTATATATTTATACTGAAACTAATACATATAAAATATAACGTTATCTCCCGTGTCATGTGACGTTACGTGACCGCCATGGAAGCCGTGGTCACGTGATGCAAGTCTGTTCCATTTAACCATTTTCTTTGACCAAGGAAGAACAGTGTCCTTGTAAGCAAGACGCCTGGCCTCGCAAGACATCACCTCGCAAGGCCAGGTGCCTTGACATTGACAAACACCCCTAGAGTTTCCCCATCTATTTTCTATCTGTAGTTAATGCAGGAGGTAGGTGTAGGAAACCATTTTCATGTTCAGCCTGCATGAAAAACTTAGTGACGAATTATAATCAGAAATAATCATTAAGAAATTGGTTTTCAATGTCCCACACCTTTAAAATTTATGCATGCATGATGGGAGATAAGTGATGTTAACATTTCATGAGAGGGGGAGCATATACCCGTATCAGTATTTATTGGTATCGGAAATTAGACAATAACAGTATATCGCACATCGGTAAAAAAGCCACAATTTTGGTCAAAAGTGTAAATTTTTTCCCTCAACTATCTCCATCTACTGTAGACATATTTAGATAAAGTGTGCGCTGCCACATGATTGTTCCTAGATACCAAATGTTGGTGAAACATCTGTAGTGCATGTAAAAACCAGCATGGCCTAAAAGCCAGAACATCCCCAGCAGGCAACACCGGGACAAACAAACAGCAACCTGTGCAACTTCTAATCTCAAAATGAAACAATAACCCACAATTTCTCTATCATGCAGGATTTTCTAACCACTTCAAATGTGTTTAAAAGGATCAAAAAAGGAGCAAGGTAAAAAATATGGCCTCACACAATGAGTGGTAATTACAGACAGAGGATAAACAAGTTTTCACTATCTTTAATCTACTTCATTCTCCTCTCCTGCTACAAAAAACATAAATTATAATTTACGAGTTATTGAGGTTCTATGCATTCAACACAAAGTGTGTTTTGTGAATCGGTTCTGGTTTAGTTTCTCTGAAGACAGAGGAGCAAGAACCGAGTGGTCAAAACTACTGTCTCTCATCAGATAGCAGCTGCAACGGTGAGACAAGAAGTTATTATCAGACTGCGTTTTGTGGCAAGTCCCAGAGGAAGCCTTAGACGAGGGAGAAAACGACTGCTGCAAAGCAAATGCAGCAGTGTTAAAAAAAGAAAAAACACGTGATGGTATGATTTTCTAACACACACATCTCTCTGTGGCTCCAGTAGTACTGGACCTGGTCCATTCATTTACAGGTGAATGTCACAGCAGAAGCAAAGACAGCAGCTGAGTCGTGGTTACATCCCAGAGTGTGGAATTTGTCCACATGTATGCAGACTCTGGTGTGAATACCAGACGGGGAACCTGGTATTTTGCCCGCAATTGTCCTTAGTTAGTCTCCAATCCAATTTTTAGGCCTTTCAAAAATGAAGAAAACGGTTTCATAGTGGGAACCAATTATCCAACATGGAAATAAGGAAAGTCGTGTCAAAAAAATACAGCAAATCCCCTTTCTAGATAAAAATCACACAAGCTATCAGTGAGTAAGATATGTTGACATACAGAGCTGTAAACAGGTCTGATTCAGGGCAGAGATTTTAAGTGTCGAGAGGGAACACCAGCCACACTCCAGCAGTGAAATTCAGAGAACAAAAGTGCTGAAGGGGAAATTATGGTGTTTTTATTTTAGACTGTGAGAAGAGATGTGCACAAGGGCCACTCCATGCCTGGAAATAAGCACAAACACCTACTCATGAAGGTGCTCAGCTCCAAACATGCACAAGGAGCGAGAAAAGAGAGGAAACATGAGATTATAACTGCTCAGAAAAACATCCTGCAAAACATCTTTCTCAGTGCCAAGCAGGCTTTTTTCCAGAGCGTAACACGGATTTACAGACAAAATTACAAGAGTATAAAATTCATACAGTTCCCCTCCCTGTGAATATAACTTCATTTCCAGCAGAACTCCTTTGCCATAAAGCTGAATAAAATACAGCCCACTAAGCAAGGATGGGCTCCTTCAGTGAAAACATTAAGGGAGTCTGGAAGGAGGTTGTGAAGAAAATAAGATTATAAAGGTGAGAAATGAGTCCTATTGTTTTCATTCACTCGAATATAAATATAAAACATCAGCTCTGACTCATGCAGGAGCTGTGAAAAAGGATAGAAGATCATCTGAGGACACACAAATATACATTTCTAACAATCTTTTCTTTTATTTAGCCACATTGGAGCGTCTTCCAGCTGATTTGCACCAGATGTAAAAGGATCCAAACCTTCCAATTTTTTCACTTTAGTTTTATCAATCAAGCTAAATGGTTTCACCCAAGTCTCTGGGATCATGAACGTGAAAGAACAGTTGTGTATTTTTTGGTAAGCAGAAGGTTTAGTTTTAGACCTCTCCCTCCCTGGGAGGCCAACCTAGCCTCTTTATTACTGTTGAATGATGATCTCTGACCTTAACCTTTACTAAAACCTGCAGGGCTTCAAATGTTGTTCTGCATTCTTTAGTCCTTGAGATTCGTTTACATGGACAAGCTTTACCCTCATTCTCCCCCACCTCTTTATGCCATCGGCACATCTAAACCCATGTTTCTAGTCATTTCCATCCATGAAGAAAACGTTTGTTGTGTATCTTTGTACTTCTTCAGTCACGGGTGAATAAACGTTCAGATTTTCTGATTTTTTCCGCGAGGCGTGATAAACAGAGCACACACACATATATACACACACGCACGCACACGCATGCATGCACACACACACACACACACACACACACACACACACACACACACACACACACACACACACATATATATACATACACACACCTACAGGATTATTAGGAACACCTGTTCATCTTCTCCTTAATGCAATTAACTAATCAACCAATCACATGGTGGTTGCTTCATTGCATTTAGGGGCGTGGTCCTGGCCAAGACAATCTCCTGAACTCCAAACTGAATGTCAGAATGGGAAAGAAAGGTGATTTAAGCAACTTTGAGCGTGGCATGGTTGCTGGTGCCAGGCGGGCCGGTCTGAGTATTTCACAATCTGCTCAGTTACTGGGATTTTCACCCACAACTATTTCTAGGGTTTACAAAGAATGGTGTGAAAAGGGAAAAACATCCAGTATGCATCAGTCCTGTGGGTGAAAATGCCTTGTTGAGGCTAGCGGTCAGAGGACAATGGGCCGACTGATTCAAGCTGATAGGAGAGCAACTTTGACTGAAATAACCACTTGTTACAGCCGAGGAATGCAGCAAAGTCTTTGTGAAGCCACAACACGCACAACCTTGAGGCGGATGGGCTACAACAGCAGAAGACCCCACCAGGTACCACTCATCTCCACTACAAATAGGAAAAAGAGGCTACAATTTGCACGAGCTAACAAAAATTGGACGGTTGAAGACTGGAAAAATGTTGCCTGGTCTGATGAGTCTCGATTTCTGTTGAGACATTCAAATGGTAGAGTCAGAATTTGGTGTAAACAGAATGACAACATGGATCCATTATGCCTTGTTACCACTGTGCAGGCTGCTGGTGGTGGTGTAACGGTGTGGGGAGATGTTTCCTTGGCACACTTTAGGCCCCTTAGTGCCAATTGGGCATTGTTTAAATGCCACGGGCTACCTGAGCATTGTTTCTGACCATGTCCATCCCTTCATGACCACCATGTACCCATCCTCTGATGGCTATTTCCAGCAGGATAATGCACCATGTCATAAAGCTCCAATCATTTCAAATTGGTTTCTTGAACATGACAATGAGTTCACTGTACTACAATGGCCCCCACAGTCACCAGATCTCAACCCGATAGTGTCATGTTCTGTGTCCCCGTCCCCAGCCTCCTCCTGTTCTCACTCCAGGTTCTCCTCTTGTGTCCCATTATTATCCCCAGCCCTCTCTAGACTTCCCTCAGGTGTCCTCCTAATCACTCCCAGATAATTCCTAGTCAATCTTATTTTAGTCATCCTCATCCATCTAGTTATTAGTTGTTTATTTTTGCCCTCAGTCTTTAGGTTTAGTTTTATCCGTGTTTTATAGGTTAATGTTTATCTGCCATCCTGCTTGTTTCTTTCCCCTCATTTAGGTTATTGTATGCACCTGCCTTCCCTCCAGATCTCACTCCTCACACCTGTCACCTGTTCCCCTGATCACCTCCCTCTGTGTTTAAAAACCCTGTCTTGTCCTTCAGTGTTTGTAGGTCCATCGTTGTGTCTACGTTGTTCTGTTCCCTCCCAAGATTTGCCCGAGTCCGTGCTCAGTTGTGAGCTTCTGTTTTGTTTTTGGACCGCTGGATCAAGCCTCCTCCTTTAAATAAAGGATTTACTCATTTACATCTGCTCCTGTCTCGTGTGTTCTGCGTTTTTGAGTCCAAATCTCCTGCTCAGCGTGACAGATAAAGCATCTTTGCGATGTGGTGGAACTGCACCATCAACTGCAAGATGCTATCCTATCAATATGGGCCAACATTTCTAAAGAATGCTTTCAGCACCTTGTTGAATCAATGCCACATAGAATTAAGGCATTTCTGATGGTGAAAGCGGGGTCAAACACCATATTAGTATGGTGTTCCTAATAATCCTTTAGGTGAGTGTATATGAAAAACCTTTTTACACAGGATATAAATTTTATTTGTTTAAGACTGCAGAAATATTCTGGAAGTTACTTCAGTTTCTTACCTTGACCAATGTGGCTCAGATGTGGGTCTAGACTGGGTGAGCGGGGATCTGTAAAGTCGTCGCTCCCTCCATCTGCAGACGAGGAACACAAAGAGAAAGACAGGGAGTGAGCTCGGTGGTGATGGTAGCAAGGCGAAGAGGACTGAGCCAGGACGAAGGCCACCTCCTTGTCTCCAATCAACCAGGTGTGGGATTGCAACACACCCAGTAGGCTGCTCACACACAAACTCTCAACACCTTTCCTCTTTGGACCCAAACTGCCCCTCATGGAGACAAGTGAGGACGACTGTGCCATTTTCCACTTTCTTCTCCTCCCCAAGTTACGAGTCAAGTTTCTCTACTCTGGACTCTCTGTGCAAATAAGAAAATAGTTTACATTGTAGCGATTGTTGCATGCAGCATTGCTCACTAGGTTCTATGATTCACTGACAGAGGATTGCCAGTAAAACGAGGGCATTCACTGGGACAGATCCACATGAAAGTAATGATATGGTGATCAATTAAGCCCAAGGGAGCAAGCAGGCAGGCACAGCTACAGTGGATAGGGCTGAGTCACCAGAGGATCGCTTCATAATCCTGCTCAAGTGCAGATTAATCTTACTGTAAAGCACGGCAGGTTCACAAAGGAGATGTGAAACAAGTGACTCAGTCTCAGATGTGTGGAATTAGAGGTATCAGTGGAATATTCTTAAAAATACCTTGCAACAGTTGATTTGCATAAAAGCAAGAAAATATGTTTTTGGAAAGCCAGGCGTCATGCTTTAATCACAAATGAGCAGAAAACCCAAACAAATACTTTAATTTCATGTGTTTAAGACCCACTCTGTTCTCCAGCAGCCACTCAGCGAGTCATCAGCTTGCTGGTGGAAAGATCGAGTTCATCGATGGACAGAGAATTGGGCCAGCTGCTGACTGTGGAATGGGAGCGAGCAGCAAACAACCTTTCAGTGTTTGGCTTTGTGGTCTGATCAGGATGAGTCAGACTTCAAGTTCTGACAACAAATTTAGTGTGAATAACAAAACTAGCTCCAAAGGAATCCACCGCAGACCTTCCCACCTAGCTCACATCTTGTAATGAAATAGCTTCTGTGGAAATCAATACAGGCCTTGATGATGATGCAGGCAGGAACAGTGCGAAGTGAAAAAAGCATTTACATTTAGATGTGTGAAGGACTGAATGGAAGGCTCAGCAACAGTCAATTGTGCTAACTTGTTTCTGCTGTGTGTTTGAGCACCCAGAACGCCAATTTGAGGCTCACTCAACAGCTTGAGATTTCATATCCGAGAGGCTAATAAATAACAAACTTTGTTTCGGCTCATACAGTGGGTACGGAAAATATGCAGACCCTCATGAATTTTCCACTCTTTTGTTATATTGCAGCCATTTGCTAAAATCGATGTAATTCTTTTTTTCTCCCTCATTAACAGAAAAACACAGAATTTTAGAAATTTCTGCAGATTTATTAAAAAAAGAAGAAGTGAAATATGACATGGTCCTAAGTATTCAGACCTTTTGCAGCATTAGAAGCACCCTTTTGAGCTATACAGCCATGAGTCTTCTTGGTCTTACACCTGGATTTGGGGATCCTCTGCCATTCCTCCTTGCAGATCCTTCCCTGTTCTGTCAGGTTGGATGGTGAACATTGGTGGACAGCCATTTGTAGGTCTCTCCAGATGCTTATTTGGGTTTAAGTCAGGGCTCTGGCTGGGCCATTCAAGAACAGTCACAGAGTTTTATCATGAAGCCATTCCTTCGTTATTTTAGCTGTGTGTGTGTGTGTGTGTGTGCGTGCGTGCGTGCGTGCGTGCTTAGAGTCATTGGAAGGTAAACCTTCTGCCCAGTCTGAGGTCTTGAGCATTCTGGAGAAGGTTCTTGTCCAGGATATCCCTGTACTTGGACACATTCATCGTTTCCTCAAATGCAACCAGTCGTCCTGTACCTGCAAATGAAAAACACGCCCACAGCATGATGCTGCCACCGCCATGCTTCACTGTGGGGACTGTATTGGACAAGTGATGAGCAGTGCCTGGTTTTCTCCACACATACCGCTTAGAATTCAGGCCAAAACGCTCTATCTTGGTCTCATCAGACCAGAAAATCTTATTTCTCACCATCTCAGGGTCCTTCAGGTGTCTTTTAGCAAACGCCATGCAGGCTTTCATGGGTCTTGCACGGAGGAGAGGCTTCTGATGGGTCATTCTGCCATAAAGCACTGACTGGTGGAGGGCTGCAGTGATTGTTGACTTTCTATAACTTTCCCCCATCTCCTCCTGACTGCATCTCTGGAGCTCAGCCACAGTGATCTTTGAATATTTGATTTGAAGAAATGGAAAGCACCTGAGTTAAATATATGAGTGTCACAGCACAGGGTCTGAATACTTAGGATCATGTGATATTTCAGGCTGTCTTTTTTAATACATCTGCAGAAATTTCTAAAATTCTGTGTTTTTCTGTCAACATGAGGTGCTGTGTGTTCATTAATGAGAGGGAAATTAATTTAATTGATTTTAGCAAATGGCTGCAAAATAGAGTGAAACATTGGCAGGCGTCTTGAGTACTTTCTGTGCTCACTATATGTATGGAAACACTGTTTGTATTTAAAAGGGATTCCCGACTGTGATGCACGTGACAAGTGAAAAATAGCTCAAGTATTCAGGTTAAGAACGACCATTTGTAACCTTTGTTGGTGAATGACAACAAAAAGCAGGCTTTATTCATTTGTACAACAATTAGTTGTCAGCCTTTAGATGGGGTTTCTTTCATTTCATTCAAAGCTCTTGTTCATTTCTAATTACCAGCAGTGATCACAGCACAATGTCCTTCTGCAAAGATCGGTGGCTTATTAAGCAGGAAACAGGATATGGGCGGGGCTTAGAGCATGGCGTGTTTTCATTCTTGCAGCAGAGACATAAACTGGATTAATCTTGCAGAGCACTCAAGAATTTTTTCAGTAATTTTAGAGCAACAGAAAAAGTTCTTCTAACAAATTACCATTATGATAACATGTTAAGTGTATATTTCAGAAGTGTATTTTACATTCTTGTATAGCTTTCTGTAATATCAAGGAATAGTTTCAAAATAATTGCTTCTATATTTATTTTCCTTAGTAAGAAATAACAGATATTTAAGATATTAAACTTGTCAAATTAATAAAAAAGCAAAACATTAAATTGGATAGTGAAATATCCATCCATCCATCCATTTTCATCCGCTTATCCGGAGTCGGGTCACGGGGGCAGTGGCCTAAGTCGAGAGGCCCGGACTTCCCTCTCCCCAGCCACTTAGTGAAATATTTAGTTTTTAAATATTTTAAGTACTTTATCCTCCATCTAATCACAATATTGAAAAGGTCAAACATGCATGCAAGTATGTCAAGCACCAATGCTGGGTCTACCTTAGCTTAAACATGTTACTGTGACCTGTCCATAAGTACAACGTTCTAACTGTGATGGGTAGTGAATACGTCTGTCGTTGTACGAGAATTTAAATGACTATTGCAGCTATCATTTTAGCTAAACTTTCAATTTAATCTAATTAATTGTAGTTTAGCTTTGAATGCATCCCGGCTCATTGCCTTCTCTGGTAGACTTTCCCTTCAGAGGTTTTAAGCAGACAGAGGCACGACAGCAAGAGAAAAAAATTAGCTCAACTAAAGCCGGAAAACGTTCAGAGACAGCACATTAAAAAACAATTGATTCATTTTTTTCATGAAATACAGTACAGGATCAATCATTCAGAAGTACTTTCTGATTTTGAGAGAAATACCTTTAACATCTATATCTTTAGTAGAATTAATTACTTTTAAAAGACCTGCACAGTTCACCTGTGACTATTTACCACATTAGCACATCCTATCTCAAACAAAACAATGGTCTGAGTTGACATTCCTCCCTAGTCAGGAATAAAAGCTGTGCAGGAAGTTGGTTGATTAATCATCAAATGATGAATTATGTTGTTTTATTCTAGTATAATATTCATTATAGTTTAACTTTGAACATTTTACCAAATTCATGGTCGGTTAGTTGAGCGCACAGCTAAGAGGTTTGTTGTAACTGTTAGCCTTTCGGGTTGGAATAAACCTGAATTCAGCAGCTAAAGGGGCATTTCATCGTATGATGAAACACTGGATCCAGCCCTACGTCTAAAGGCACACACTTCTTAGAATAACTTTTTAAAGAGCTGTAATGCTAGAGTTCGGTTGGACATCAAAGAAAGAACTCGTACAGCGAATCACTGAGAGGTTAACGTGACATCAGCACCATAAGTCCCCTTGTCATTATTGCTCAGTCCTGTCAGTGTCTAGAGATCAATGTGACCCCTGCTCCAGGATGAGGCTCCATTTTCTGTCTGAGAACACTAAAATGTGGCCTTTTCAGATCATCTTTGGCATAAAGAAAGATCTAGAAAAACAGTTTGAAAGAAACTTGAGTTTGTCAGCATCCATGCACTCAACAACTGACTGAAGAAAATGCACGACTATTAGAAGTTTATTGAGTCATCTTGTTGTGTTTCAGTCAGTTTAGACACAAATTAATCAGTGCCGTGGTGACATGAATGTAACATATTGCTGCTTCTTAGACTAATTAATTAATTAATTAAACAAGAGTCAATCCCAGAAAGAAAATAAGATGGCAACTTAAAAAATAAGTTAACAAATCCCAGAAAGATGCATCCTTCACTTTAATAATAACTTTACTCAGTGACAGTGATTTAGTTTATGGTTCAGGTCCTTTCTGTTTTACCTTTAGGTATCTCGTTTTAATCTACAGTTCTCACCCAGGTTTTGAGCTAGTGTCACCTAATTCTGAGAAAATAATCTATGGACCGCTGGGTTCATTTATCAAACATTTCTGTGACTTTCCAACTGACATTTGGGATTTTGTGTGTACACCTAATATTGATTTGTGATTAATTTCCTTTTGTCCAACAAACGGCTAAAACGAACCTCGGTTCTTTTTATTCTCCTATGAATAAAAAGAGCTTGTGGGACAGAAATTAATCACCAAACAGTTTTAAATTTTCTCTTTTTTTGTTTACATATTTTAGGGGTGAGTGATGAAATGTTGGACTA